CACCTTGAGCAGGCAGGGAGCATCTCTCATGGGGCTCAGCAGCTCCGGGATCCCAGGCCCTTGGTACGCGGGTGTCTCCTCCTCCCTCTCCCGCTGGAAGTGGATAGCTCCAGCGGGCAGGCGACACTCGTAGCGCTGTTTGTACTTGGAGGAGACGATCACCACGTCCGAAGCTTGGTTCTGGGAAAGAAGGGAAGGTCGGGGGCTCCGACGCAAAGAGAGGCTGCGATTATAGAAAACACCCGGATCCCTCTGCGGACCCTGGGGAGGAGCCCAGGCGGCTACAGAAGGAGCCAAAAGGCCTCCGTGGTCTGGGGGGCACTCCCACTTCTCCACGGAGGCGGAGACTGGGTGTTGCACCGTGAACCCCGACCTGCAGGCTGACAGCTGGAACTCCTCTCCCCCCAGGCCCCGGGCCCCAGGGAATGGGTCTCAGGCTGCGATCACCAGGAGTCACTGTAACAGCCCTACCTACTCTTCCCGATCCCCTTAGGCTCCCCCCAGCCTCCGCACCTGCCTTTCTTTCTCTACCTTCTCTCCTCCTTCCTCTTCTACCTCGGACCCTCACCCCTCACACGCCTTCTCACCTGCCCTCCCAAGACTGGCAATGGCAGGATCTCGATTCCATAACGCATTTCACTCAGCTCCTCCAGGTTCAAGCTCCCAACACCGCCGGTCAGACTTGCAGGTAACAACAGCCCCAGAAGCAGCAGCCCCAATAGGCTGGACAGCAGCGTTTCCGCCGCCATCTTTCGTTCCCCTTCTTAACCAGAGAAGCTCCTTCCGCCCTAAACCTGGCAGCGGCCTCACCCCTCCCACTAGCGCCGCAAGTTCTCATTGGCTACACGTTCTGTCCCTCTCACGTACCTGATTCCCATTTGTAAACGTGGCTCCAAAGTTCCCGGGGAGGTGGACCACGACGATTGGCACAATCAATCACTGCGCGTGATTGGCCAGAGATGCCAACCAATCAACGACGAGATTAGACCCCCACCCCTTATTCCCCCAATTCCATAGAGGCGTGGTCTTGCCCTGGGCGCTTTTTGGCAGCTTTTCGCTCTCCTCGGCCAGCTGTCCCGCGCATCTCTGCTTAGCGTATTTTTTAGACGTTTCATGCAAAGTGTCCCGCCCCGCGCAGAGCGGAGTACTGGGGCTGACGGATAGGTGTGTGCGATACCCGTGGAAGTTAATGAACACTTTTTGCGAAACAAGCGATTATTAGAATCATACCTCATTTCATATATACACTACTTCAGGGCAATCAGGTAATTTGTGTCAGACTTTCTGCACGATCCTGCAGTTGTTCTCCAATAAAATGATCCTAAAGGAATCACGGGAGCTGTCGGTGAAAGACGGAGTAAGGTGCTAATGCACGTATTATTGTAAAAGAAAAAATAAACACACACCAAAGAACAAAGAAGGAAAGGAGGCAGATGCAACGTCTGCGAAGCTGGAAAGCCGGCAGAGGAACGGCAACCGGCTTAGCAGAATGAGAAAATCGGCCCCTAAACAAAGGTAAACACGAGCATGGTGCCGCTGGAAAACGTTCTCTGGGGAATTTCTCCAGCACAAAAGGAAAATCCCAAAGAGAAGCTGTCGCAGTGAGGCACACAATCCCACAGGCAAGCCCCAGCCCTGAGCTGACTCCAATCTGCTTGTTGACCTCCTCGCTCTTAACACAGCCAGGCAGTGTCCTTAGACGTTCAAGGAAGGACTTTAAAGATACAAGAGAGAAACAAAACCAAGCAAGCAAAGAGAAAAAAAAGCAAATTAAAGGTAATAAAGATTAGGGGAGGGCAAAAATAAGACAAATATTTTAAAATTTAAAAACCCCACCATCTGTAGCCTCAGAAAGGTGAAACAGTGTATCCATAAAATGACAATGGAAGCTAGTTTTTTAAAGATTTATTTATCTGGCCGGCGCCACGGCTCACTAGGCTAATCCTCCGTGGTGCCGGCACACCGGGTTCTAGTCCCGGTCGGGGTGCCGGATTCTGTCCCGGTTGCCCCTCTTCCAGGCCAGCTCTCTGCTGTGGCCAGGGAGTGCAGTGGAGGATGGCCCAAGTGCCTGGGCCCTGCACCCCGTGGGAGACCAGGATAAGTACCTGGCTCCTGCCATTGGATCAGTGCGGTGCACCAGCGATTGGAGGGTGAACCAACGGCAAAGGAAGACCTTTCTCTCTGTCTCTCTCTCTCACTGTCCACTCTGCCTGTCAAAAAAAAAAAAAAAGATTTATTTATCTGAGAAGCAGCATTACAGAGAGAGAGAAAGAGAGAGAGAAGTCTTTTATCTGCTGGTTCATTCCTCAAATGCTGCAAATGGCTGGATCTGGGCCAATCTGAGCCAGGAGTCAGGAGCTTCTTCCAGGTCTCCCACATGGGTGCAGGGTCCCAAGGACTTGAGCCATCTTCCGCTGCTTTCCCAGGCACATTAACAGGGAGTTGGATTGGATGTGGAGCAGCCAGGACTTGAACCGGCGCCCATATGGGATGCTGGCGCCACAGGCAGAGGTTAACCTACTAGCCCCTGGAAGCTGTTTTAAAAGGCCCCACTGGGCAGAGTCGCTGGTGCAGAGGATCAAGACACCTCTTGCCAGGCTGGCAGGTAGAAGGCTGCTCCGCTTCCCATTCAGCTTCGTGCTAATGCACCTGGGAAGGCAGTGGAGATGGCACAAGTAACCCGCAGCCCTGACACCCACGCAGGAGACCCAGATGGAGTCTCTGGCTCCTGGCTTATGCCTGGACTAGATCTGGCTGTTGCATCTGTTTGGGAAGAAAACCAGGGATGGAAGATTCTCTCTCTCTGTCTCTGTTTCTCTGTCTCTCCCCATTTCAAATGGCCACAAAGGACGGAGCTGAGCCAGACAGAAGCCAAGAGCGAGGAGCTTTTTCTGGGTCTCCCACGTGGGTGCAGGGCCCACTTGGAAGCACTTGGGCCATCTTCCAGTGCTTTCCCAGGCCATTAGCAGGGAGCTGGTCAGAAGTGCAGCAGCTGGGACTTGACCCGGCACCCATATAGGATGCTGGCACTGCAGGTGGTGGTTCAACCCACTATGCCACAGTGCTGGCCCCAGTAAATCTTTTTTTTTTTTAAATAAAGTAATTGCTATTCAGATAAGCAAAAGGGCCTCTTAGAAATCAAAACCATGATAGGTGAAATAAAAATTCATTAGAAAAATTGGAGAAGGTTGAAGATCAAATTGGCTTGACTTCAGGAGAAAATTGATGAAAATTAGAGAATCAGTCCAGAGGGTCGAACATCTGAAAACTGATAACTTCAGAAAGAGAGCGGAGACTCAGAAGGAGAGAAGTTGCTCAGGAAGTCACTCAGCAGTGTTTCCCTGCGCTGAAGAGCTGAGCCTGCGAAGGGAAAGAGCAGGATCTGCGCCCAGAACAAAGCAGGAGGCATCGCCACTGCTTCCAGAGCCCCGGACACAGACACAACTCAGGGCTGCCAGGGAAAAAGGACAAGTCACATGGCGGGTCAAACACCAGAGCTGGAGGAGGCTCATCGACCTAACACTAGTGGTTAGGGACGGCAGAAAACACCTGCGGAGTTCCGAAGGCGGGACGGGCGTCTGGCGCAGCGTTTATGACAGTGCTGGGTGCCCACAAGCCTGGGTTCCAGTCCTGCCTGGGTTCTGGCTCCAGATTCCTGCTGATGCGAACCTTGGAAGGCCAAGAGGTGGCTCAAGAACTTGCATCCCTTCCACCCACGCAGGAGATCTGAACAGAGTTCCCGGCTCCTGGCTTCAGCCTGGCCCGAGCTCTGACCGTTGAGGAATTTGGGGAATGACCCAGCAAATGGGAGTTCCATCTGTCTGTTCTATCTCTCTGCCTCTCACAGAAATAAACAAACAAACATTTAACAAGAACAATACAAAGAGACAAAAGCAATCACCAGAGCAATGGCAAAAGAAGACACTGAAGCGCATGGCAGAACTAGCAATCCAGTCATCCAGATTAGAGCCTTTCAGAAGGGCTTGCGAGTGATTTCTTCAATAAAATAAAGTTGATAGTGGGGCCGGCGCTGTGGCATAGCAGGTAAAGCCATTGCCTGCAGTGATGCCATCCTATGGATGCCAGTTCGAGACCCGGCTGCTCCACTTCCGATCCAGCTCTCTGCTATGGCCTGGGAAAGCAGTGGAAGATGGCCCAAGTCCTTGGGCCCCTGCATCCACGTGGGAGACCCAGAAGAATCTCCTGGCTCCTGGCTTCGGATCGGTGCAGCTCTGGCCATTGCAACCAATTGGGGAGTGAACCAGCAGATGGACAACCTCTCTCTGCGTATCCTTTCTGTGTGTAATTCTGACTTTCAAGTAAATAAATCTTTTTTAAAAATTGATAGTTTCCAATGCATTTGAATGTTTGGAGAAGAGATCTTTGTATTACCAGGGGAGAGTTTGGGGATAAATTAATGGTAAAAAGCTAAGGGAGGGCCGGCGCCGCGGCTCAATAGGCTAATCTTCCGCCTGCGGCGCCAGCACACCGGGTTCTAGTCCTGGTTGAGGCGTCGGATTCTGTCCCGGTTGCTCCTCTTCCAGGCCAGCTCTCTGCTGTGGCCAGGGAGTGCAGTGGAGGATGGCCCAGGTCCTTGGGCCTGCACCCGCATGGGAGACCAGGAGGAAGCACCTGGCTCTTGGCTTCGGATTGGCACAGCGTGCCGGCTGCAACGCGCCAGCTGTAGCGGCCACTTGGGGGGTGAACCAACGGAAAAAGGAAGATGTTTCTCTCTGTCTCTCTCTCTCTCACTGTCCAACTCTGCCTGTCAAAAAAAAAAAAAAAAAGGATGACCCTTATGCAGTCAGCACTGTGGCGTAGTAGGTTAAGCCTCTGCCTGCAGCACCAGCATCCCAAATGGGCACCAGTTCAAGTTCTGGCTGCTCCACTTCTGATCCAGCTCTCTGCTATGGCCTGGGAAAGCAGTAGAAGATGGCCCAAGTGCTTGGACCCCTGTACCCACAAGGGACACCGGCCCAGCTCCGACATGGGAGATCGGCCCAGCTCCAGCCACTGTGGCCATTTGGGGAGTGAACCAATAGATGAAAGATCTCTCTCTGTCTCTCTGTCTCTCTCTCTCTCTGTCTCTCCCTCTCTCTCTCTCTCTCTCTCTCTGTAACTCCTTCTCTCAAATAAATAAATATTAATGTAAAAAGAATGAATCTGATGAGAAAGGTGAAGAAAAGGGACAACATACACACAAATTTACCACCTAAAGAGCAAAGTTCCTGCCGTCTTGAGGGCAACTGCTCCAGAGGGTTCCTTGGTGTTTCACAAAAAGCCTGGACCCCTACCCCTGCTGTGGGACAATTAGTAACGAATGAATACATCAAAGATGATTTATTTGTGGAGATTGCAGCGTGTCACAAAGCAGACTTGGGGCATTAGAGGTGCACATGGCTCAGGTGGAAAACAGCTGGAGCTGCCCACATAGATTCTGCAGACCAAGGTCAAGCTGAAGCAGCAGACTACAAAGCTGACGACGATCCAGCATTGTTCCTGTCAGCCAAGCCCAAGAGGGGCCCCACGGGACCCAGCGGAAAGAAGCAGCCGGCAAAAAGCCTGCTGTCCTCAGCTGCGTGCCTGTAAGCCGGTGGCCATCAGGCTCAGGTGCTGGGGCTGCAGAGCTAAGTAGGACACTCCATTCAGAAGCAAGAAAAGAGGCATTTGCAAGCATTCGTTGCCAGCCCTTTTGTTGGATTGACAAGTGGAGTGAACTGACAAGGGAAGACATTAGAAGGGTAGCCGAGACTCAGAAAGAACTAGAAGGGTTCCACCCA